GGCTGCTGTATATTTACAATATCAGTTCTGAGTCAAATTACCATCCTTAATACGGGGAACAGAATACAAACTATATTCAGTCGGACTGACACAGATGGAATACTCATCACCAGAGTATTGTCTGATCAAATTTGTGTTATGTTTTTGAACTTGCAGCACAATGCAGATATATTTGAATGTCAATATTAAACATTTAGACTGCTGTTCAGATTGTATTTATCATTTTCTTTCACTGTCTAGAAATTTGAATCCCTAACTTAATATTTGCTGCTGTGAAACAGCTCTAATGAACACTAAATATTGATTTCAGTTAGCTGGATTGTAGATACTTGCAGATTGAATGATTTTTTTATGGAAACAGAAGACAGAAATTTGTTCAGTCTTCTACAAAGTACTTTAAAGTATCTGCACACGTTGGTTTTGTAAAACCATTCAATCAGGACTTAGAACTGCAGTTCTTATGGCAGGTATCCATGCGTTCATAGAACTTTTAAAGATCCCAAATCTTTCATGGGATTTTTATTAGTTTTAAAGTTAATAAAGTTAGCTAAACCCACTTGTCTCTTGTTTTATTTCTCACTAGTAACTTGAAAACGTGTAAATCTGTGTAGAAACAGACACAAATTATGTGGTTACCTAGTCTTGCCTTGATCATAGATTCCCTCTTTATAAATTACCAACAGTCCATCACTGATTAAAATATTTTCTATAGATAAGATCTGCTGGATAATATAGTATATAGAATTAAGTTAACATACTAACATTTCGCCTTGGAAGTTTTAATCCACTTCAGGACACAAGTTCCTTATCACAATTCTTATACACATAGCATAGTATAGTTTATTTAAATGTGCTCAACAGATGCTAAAAATTGCAAAAACATTAAGACAGTATTACTGTCACCACCTGGAAAAGATGTTCTTATGGGATCATATATGAACATGTCAATAAGCTTGCATTGAGCCACCTGCTTTGTAAGTGGATTGAATAATAAATACCTTTGGTTTCCCTTGTCTTTGTCCTTCATAATCAGATAAGTGTAAAACAGTTTACAGTATAACATAAAAATCAAAATGTTTTGTTTACATTAAACAATTTGTGATCCATTTATAAATGTGACCTTATCCAATTTGATGCCTGTTTGTCTGCTTAACGCTGCTTCCCCTCTTTTTAAATCAGTTTGTTAGGAGTAGTATTTCCAATGCAGTGTCCATTGCTGGCAATAGACTTAACACCTCTGCAGCTAAGGCGTTAAGCAGGGAGAAGTTTTGTCCCAACATTTGTGATGAGTGGAATTTTCAAGCTTAATTGCTTTGTTAAAGGTAAATTTCATTTGATGGCTTAAACCACTTTTGTGTTTGATTTGGGGAGTATGGTGGGAGAACGGGAACGTGTGATGATTTTTTGGGGGTTGCTCCAAACTGTCAAGGTTTTAAATAAAACCTGCTTGAAGACCATGTACCTGCAGGGAACTGTGGGTGGGTGTGTGACTGAAGCTATAGTGGGGAGAGTTACAATGAGTAAACGTTTACTGGAAAGACCCTAAGGCAAACATCTTCCATTCTTCAATGTATGTGAAGAAAGCAAGGAAAGGTAGATCACCACTGATGCTGCTCACCTGCTAGGTACTTGATGGGCCCTGGGGGGTGGGGGGGAAAGACCTGTGGAAATAAGCCCTGAGGTGCATGTTGAGTCCACTTTGGCATTCCCAAGGGAGAGAGAAGCACAGATATTTTGTGGGATTTTTTTTATGCACCAGATTTGACTGCCTGGTACTAGAGGTATTTAAGTGGCCCACAAGTTGACTTATTTTATAACTGATACTGATGCTGTCTTGCTTTTAAGTGTATACATACCATGTTGTAATGTGATGTTAAACACTTACGTATTTGCCAGGAATCAGAGTTTCCTGATATTATGTGCTAATGCAGGGGCTAATAAAGCTGCAGCCTACTCTTATTTCCAGAAAGTTGTGACCGGACATAATTTAAGGAAAATAAAATAAATGGGCTTTTGAAATGTCTACCACTTACTGTGCTTTACTTGCTTAGATGCATTGCCTTAAGTTTTCTGCAGCATCTTTGACTTTCAAGATAAGATTCTCAACAGTATGCATCAAATTACTTTTCATATAAAATTCCATTGTCAAAACAAATCCTTTTGTATGCAATAAATAAAATGTTAGACTGCTATCATTTGAAGGCTGTATTTTCTTTCATTAAAATAGCATTCATGGTATGTTTTAATCATCTGCTCGTTTATAAAACTTCATCCAAAGAACAGCTCCCTAGCATTGCTGTTTATGCACATACGTACAGTAGATTTATCTGGGGAGGAAAGAAGTCGGACTCTCCAATACAGAAGGATTAATATAGAGTTCTAGCTATATACAACGCTCAATATCTGTCATCTTCATTAACAGAGCAGGTTGTTTTGAAATACTGCACCTATGTGGCCTTGTTAGTTTTTCCACAGTCATTTATATGACTTCCAGAATTCTGTCCACTTCTGTTGTTAACATTTAGTCTTTCAGCTGAGTTTACATGTGTATTTAAGTATGAAAGAAAAACTGCACAGAACTAAAATGTTCTCCTTCAGCGGGTGCTGCTTAAGTACTGACTGAACCAATGTAAAAGATGATACTTGAGTCTAGGAAAGTGACAGGAACTTGGGTAAAAAGGAACAAATCCCCAAAGCTTTCACATGGATTGCTATAAAAGTTTCCACATCCTTGACTGCGTAAGAATGGAAAACTTGGAAGTAAGAGTGCTCATGCTTCCTTCTGAAGAAAACTGACAAAATGATTAAAACAGCTTGAAGTATCCCAAGCCAAAGTCAGTTGTACCATATTTCAGTGCTCTTCTTTGAACTAGTACGGTTTCCCCTGAAGTACCTTGAGTTATTCCAGGTATGATGTCTGGGCAGTACATGTGTTAGGCTCTAAGTAACAAGTAAACTTTTAACATGCGAGAACTCTCCTCATGAGTTTGTTGTGTAAGACAAGCTTAAGGCATCTCACGCAGGTCTTTCGTGTTAAAAAGGAGTCCCTACTTAGAAATACCAGTTTAGACTCTCGAGGCCAATGCAGGCAGCCGAGTAACTACTTAGAAGGCAGCCATCACAAAGAAAAGCTGAAGTGTATTTCTTTACCCAGTATAAACAAGGAAGGCAAGGCCAGGGCTCTGCAACACCAGCAGGATGGCAGTGTTCTGAGGAAGACGGGCTTATTTAAAGCAAACCTATTAAAATGAAGAGACAGGGACAGAACAAACATGCTTAACAAATCATGGACCACACTAGAAAGGTTAGCTATAGAGCTCCATAACAAGGAATTAAAAAAGCCTGCACTTGAAACCTTATTATCAAGGATTCTGTTTTTTCTGTTTAAAAATCAGATTCTCTGATAAAAACCCCAAATCTATGCTTTTCTGCGATCAAAATGAAATGCCACTATATATATATAGAGAGAGAGAGAAAGGTATCAGCTGAACACAATGTTTTATTTAGTTACAATTTTAAAGCAGTTTGGAAGCCTACCAGTGCCTCAATCACTATAATAAAATAAATGCTAAATACCTAGGGGCCAGCTGCAGCTGTTCCACCCCCCCTTGCTTTGTGGCACTGAACAGCCCTGATATGTTGGTGTCGTGCCCATTAGGCCTGTGTGAAGCAGTTAGTATTTGCTTTGGATTCAGCTGATTTGGGGGACAGTGACTTGATTCGGTGTCCTGAATTGGTCTGGCCACTGCCAAATCAAATGGGCCCCATCTCCCCACCTTCTCTCCCAGCACTCAATGGCTGCCCTACCCAGCCCTAGCCACCTGGCTCTTAAAAAAAAAAAAATTATAATAATAATAAAAGCCCTGCACTCACCCACTGGTGCCAGGCAGGGGAGGCGATCCCCACTGCACCTTGCTGCATGTGGGGTCTGCCACGAGCCTCCAGAAGCCCCAAGCCTGCTGTGATGAGTGTGGGGTTTTTTTTAAAGAACCAGGAGCTGGGGTGGGCAGGGCAGCTATCAGCTGGCAGAAGCTAGTGAGTGCAGGGGTTTTTTTAAAAAAAACCAGGAGCAGGCAGGGGATGGGGCCATGTGGGTCCCCCCCAATGGTGCCCTACTTTCCAGCATGGAGTCTGGTCCTGCTCCCTGCAGCAGTGAGTGGGGACTGCCCATATCTCCAAATAGATTCAGACCTTTTTATTGGTCTCCTAATTCAGAGATTTGGCTACTGAATTGGGCCAGATCTCCTCCAAATTGAACTGGCACCCAAAACTTCGCCCAGCCCTACTGCCTATGCTACTGCTCCTCACTCAGGAGCTGCAGCCCCCCCCCTGCAAGCAGCTGGTCTTATGCTGCCTGGCTGCCAAGTGCAGGCCACAGGTCAGGTGTGGGGGGCATCAGCACGGCTGGGGGGACTGCAGCTCCCTGCCCAGAGCCCACGAAGCACCTGGGATGGGCAGCCCCTCACACCCAGCTGCCTCCCTATGGAGGCCTCGATCCCCGCTCCCCCCTTCCACGGGGGAGCTAGGCTCATGCTGCCCCGTGCGCCTCCTGCTCCCTCGGGACTCGCCAGCCTGCAAGGGGAAGCCTACTGTTTCCGATGCTGTTCTCCTTTAAAGGAGCGTTTTTCTCCTTAAAAAGAGAAAATCAGCACTTTCCCACGTTTTCCCGTGGGCAGTGGAGAACCCGGCTTCCTGCTTCTAGCCCCTTCTCTGCCAGGGTGTTTCTGGCTGGAAAACACCAGACCTAGAGGATTTACAGTTTAAAACACGGGGAGCACGCAGGGACAGAGCTCGGCCCTGCCCGCGCACCTTGCAGCCAGAGAGACCCGCAGCGGAAGCACGAGGCAGAAGCGCCGCGGGGCCCCCCGGGGGCTGCAGGGCTCCGCGCGCACGCTCAGCGCGGGAGTCCTGCTCCGCGCCTGGGGGAGGGGGTGGGTCGCCGTAGCTCCCAACAGCCCCTGCGCGGCCGCCTTGACCCCGTGGGGCCTCTTTTAAAGAGCCAAGCGCGGCCCCGCGGAAGCCTCCGGCTCCTTCCGGCCCGAGGGTCATCGCCATAGCAACGCATGGGGCAGGCCCGGCGGGCAGCCAATCAGGTGCAGGCATTGTACGAAGCTGTCCAATGGCGGGCGGGCGGGGCTGCATTTGAACCCGCGGGCGGTGCCAGGAGTAGTCCTGTTGCTGACAAGCGCCTAAGCGGCTGCAGCTCTGAGCACCCCGGCCCGCTCCTGTCCCTACTCCTCCGCCCGGCCCTATGGCGCTCACCCGGCGCGCCGCGGTGAGTGCTGCCCTGGGGGGTGCCCGGCCGGTGGGGCTGAGGCGTGGCCGGGCTGGTCCTACCCTGCGCTGCCCCGAGGGACGGTGGTGGTGCTTCCCCCACTCCGGGCCTCTCCGCTGCTTCTTCCCGCGAGCGCGGGGCTGCAGCTCCGGGCATTAAGCTCGGCCTCCCCCACCTCCCATCCGCGCACACACCCGCCCCGCATCCCCCTCCGGGCGCGGGGTCGCTTCTGGCTGCTGCGAAGCCGCGGTGCAGCTCGGGGGTTGACCCTGCTGCAGCGCCTGGCGGGGCCCCGGGCTCTGGCGGGAAGCTGGAAAACCTGCGAGACTCGAAATAAATCCGAGTCTGTGGGGGGAGTGCGGCGTCCCAGGGTGGCCGCCCGGAGCCGAGGGAGGAAACCCGTGGACGGCCCTGAGGCATTTGCCTTTTGCCAGGAGTAGCATTCAAACTGAATGGTGACTTCAGGGTGCAAAGCAAGTGGCTTGCTTTATCCTTAAGGCAGTAAGTCCCTCCCTAGGCCGCGTGGCCAGGTTCTTTCTTCATGTCACTGAGCCACCTTCAAGGAAATAACCACCCCACAGTAACTCAAGTTGTAAGTCACAGAAAAGTGCTGTCTGACTGCTTCCTTGGGGGGGAAGTGGGGTTCAGCTCTAACCTCCTGCAGTTCAACCAAGCTCCCCGTAATTACATGATCTCAGCCTTCAGGGTTTTGTTTTTGCTCCAAGCACGAGATGTGCTGGAAAAAGGACATGGTGCAGCAGCGCGTACTGCTAGTGAAAGGACTCTAATGTGTGGGCATGGGTGACTGCTATGGAAGAGATGATGACTGCAGATCTTCTGGGATTTGCCTATTGTGAATTCGTGCTCTCTTCTAGGTTACAAGGGGGGTGGAGAATGCTATGATAGGAATCAACAAAGATAAAAGCCAAATGCCTGGCAAAAGAACTGCTTTAGAAGAGATTGGAAACAAAGTTACAACCAGAGGAGCACATGTAGTTAAGGTAAAGCACTTTAAACTTCTACATCTGGAAAAGCATTGGCTTAATAGTTAACAAACCGGTAGAGATTTTTTTTTGGCTGATACTAGCAGCAGATTTTTAAGGAGCCATATTGGCTGATACCAGTCTGATTTCAATACATAGCTGAGAAGCTTGGAGACCAGTGTCAGGCTGGTAAGTCTGTTGTGGTGGAAGGGGGTCCAGAGCAAGGCCCCCACGGTGAGGGAGGGAGCACAGGAGGGAGCTGCAGCTTGTCCAGGAGGCATGGGGGGAGGGGCAGCTCCTGCCCTACATGCACCCCTGGAGGGCTGGAGGGGAGGGGAATCTGCATGGGAGTTATGTTGGGCGCTTCCAGGGTGGGGGCTGTGCCAAGCTGTGCTTGGGGAGGTTGGCAGCACTGGGAGGGGACTACAGGGGGTGAGGGGGCTGCAACCACCCCAATAACTGGCATAACCCTCTCCTAGCCCTGTCACTGGGAAGATCCCAGTGCAGCCCCCAGCTCTGGCAGCCTGTCCTGCTCTGTATGCTGATCTGAGTGCACACTCCCCCTGTGCCCTCCCAAAGTTAGTGGGAGCAACCCCCTGCATCCTCCAGACAAGCCGCTCATGGTTCCATCCCACACCTCAGCCTGGCTGAGCAGTGCCTGCCCCACTCTCTCCCTCACCATGGGGGGGGTCCCTATTTGTCCCCCCCTCCCCACACACCCCTTTCTTCCCCCCCCACACCAGACTTAACAGCCTGACATTGCTTTCCAGGCTGCTAGGCCGTGCTCCTGGCCGCGTGTATGCTGCAGGCTTTGCGCATACATGGGGCATTTATCAGCCACATCGCACAAAAAGGCTGATTTCTGATGCTGTCAATTTCTCCTATATTGGTGCAAATCTGATATGGGACTGATGTATCAATGCACCTCTATTAATGGGGTTTGATTTGTGTGGCTTTTTTCTGTTTAATAGAAAACAGAAAGCTTAAAAGCATCCGTAAAGGCCTCCAAAGGAGGTAGCAAGTCAACAAATGTAACAGCACAACCAAAACCTGTAGCTGCGGTGAAACCACTGAAGGAAGCCAGTGTTCCAAAGGTAGGAGGAAACTGTTTTTTATTGTTGTTCTCTGGCTTTAGGCTTGGAGCCTGCCTCTTCCTAGGTTGGAAGTGTACCATTTGCCCCTTTCAGAGAAATCAATGTCCCTATGGATCTCTGGGCTTGCAATATGTTGGCTCATTACTCCTAGTAAGGGGAGGAAGAGGATACAGGAGAGAAAAGTTATATTTTGTTAATGGATTAATTTTTTTATTATTAACACAAGCAAACGAACAAAGACAACCTGCAAATCAAATGTAAAGATCATTAAATGACTCCTATACATAGGCAAAGTTCTTATGGTTCAAGATGATGTCTATGTACCACAGTGGCAGAAGTTGTGGGCTAATACTACAAGCTTACTTTTTATATTTAAAAAAAAAACAAAAACTAAAGGCTTAAAAAACCTGTCCAGTTACTGAAGCAGTGTGGACTTTACATCTGTTGCACAATGTGTGGGTCTTAATGACTGACGTATCAAATAGATTATGTCTCCAACCCCTATGGACATATCCATGAAAGAAGAGGATCTGTGCCAGGCTTTTTCTGATGTACTGCTCAGCAATGTTGAAGACATTGATGCTGATGACTGGGAAAACCCTCAGCTTTGTAGTGACTACGTAAAGGATATCTATCTATATCTAAGGCAACTTGAGGTATGGATGCTTACATTTTTTTTTTACAACTGCAAATGCATTTAAACTTACCCATGTGTTAGACCGAATGCTTATTTCTCCCAACAGTTGCAGCAGCCAGTACGTTCACGCTATCTTGACGGGAAGGAGATCAATGGGCGCATGCGTGCAATCTTAGTTGACTGGCTTATTCAAGTCCACTCAAGATTCCAGCTTTTGCAGGAAACTCTGTATATGTGTGTTGGCATTATGGACCGTTTCTTACAAGTAAGTGTCTGGAACATGATGCTTTATAACATAAATGTGGATCTGGAGAATCCATTTAATGACTCTACTTAAACACTGAACAAGACCAAACTCTTCAAATGGGTTCTGGGTTTCAGTTGCCTGCATATTTATTCAGTGTATAAATTACTGAAATGAATGCTATCTCTTATCTCCACTATCCATTTAGTTACTTAACTGAACTCCATTCCACTGTGCAAAAAAACAGTGAAGGGGAGACAGCTGTCAAAGGACTGCTCTTCCCCTTCAATGCAAGGGGACCTAGCTAGTTCCAGGACACAGTACTGTGTGCTTAAGGAGCACTTTTGACAATAAGTTCCAATAAGTGCACATTGCAAGAAAGAACATAGCCTTGCTTAGTCTTGAGACTATATATTTATGCAAAATATGCTCTATCATAATGAAAAACTGAAGTTTGTCTTTTATTGTGCCCAGAGTCGCCTAGTTTCCCGAAACAGACTTCAGTTGGCTGGTGTGACAGCACTGTTTCTAGCTTCAAAATATGAAGAGATATTCTGTCCTGACATCGCAGACTTTGTTTATATCACTGATAATGCCTACACTACTGCTCAGATCAGAGAAATGGAGGTGACAATTCTTAGAGAACTGAACTTTGACCTAGGGCGTCCCCTTCCACTCCATTTCTTACGGAGAGCATCAAAAGCTGGTGAGGTATGTGCTTGGCCCAATTTTAACTTGAAGTATTCATGCTGGATTTCAAGGTAGCTATTTTGGTTGGACAGTGTCTTTTCAAGCCCTCTTCTGGACTTGAGAGATGTCAGAGTAAAATGGCTTTAAAGAAAGGATTTAAAGAGGGTGGATTAGAGAGCATGTATAGCAGAATGTTGCTTGGTATGTGGCAGCGGTTAATTATTTTTATGAAAGAAATAGTGGCTCAAACACTGAATTGCAGAATAGTTTTAGATAATAGATTGCACATTGCCTCATTTATGATAAACATGCTGGGAGCTAGTTCTGGTGGTAACAAGATAAGGAACTGATGCAGCTAACTGAAGAAAACAATATAACTGAAGCTTTACTAGGTAAAGTACCTTAGTAATACCTCAGTGTATTCTGGGCATTTCAGGCCAGATTAGAACAGGCCTCTGACTTTTTCTTAAATGCTTAGGGACTTCCATGTAATGGTAGATAGTTCCCTGCTGAATCTAGATGCAATCTGTATTGGCAGGGTGTCCCTTTTATAGTGCATGGGGGAGCCTAGAGAGCTCTAGTGTTGCATTAGAGGGTGCCAGATCTTGAACTCACTCCCTGACTTCTGGCTGTGTACTAAATGCAAGTAATGTGCTGCAGCACTGGCTCCTAAGCCCTCTTTTTTTTTTAATCCAGCCCTCCATTCTTTGCCCAAGATGAACAGAACAGAACAAAACAAAAAAAACAGTAGACTTGGACAGTGAAACTCCCACACCAGATGTGATTTATTTTTTTGTTTTTGTTTTAAACCTAGCCATATGGTATTTACTGCAGTACAGTAAAGTAACCCTTCTGATGCTTTCTAACATTAAAATGTGAATTGGGTTCAGCATCTCTTCTAGGTTACAAACTAAAACCCAAGTCTCCCTTCTCATGGAATCCAGGGTAGGGTGCACTTTGAGTGGGGCAGATGCAGTTCACCATATTCAAAAGGCAGTGTCTACACTATCTCCATCCAGGCCACTACGAAGAAGCATATCTTTCTCATTGCTGTTTGGTTGGCTAACCTTTTATTTCCAGGGTCCAACAATCTGACTTGGAGTGGCTGAAGCATGTCCCCAAGAATAGTCCTGAGATGTGTACTCAAGGTCATGCCAAGCTGGCTGCACAGTCTCATTTTCTTGCTGTTAGGTACTGAGCAAGAGCATGGTTTCTCTCCTCCATGAGGAAGTGGCATAAACCAGTATGGGTGTGCAAAGTAGGCCATATTAGATTTGGATTCGGCGGTGAGTTGATTCGGATCACTGTCCCCGATTTATTATTCGGCCAAATCCAAATCTGAAAATTCGATACTGAATTGGAGAATCGGTGATTTGGACATAGACACAGCTTTTAAATGTTATTTTCTACATACCTCAAGGTACCAGGTGGCTCATCAATGCTGTGATGCTGGGGTGGATGAAGCGTCCCACAGGCACTGGGGAACCCCCCTCACTCGCTGGGCAGCAGACCCGGAAGTGGACCAGACGCGCTCCCAGGTGTACTGGGGGGCGCCAATGAAGTGCTTCTGGTCAACTTCTGAGTCTGCTGCCAAGCACGCTAGGGAGCTCCCCACACTCCTGTGGAACGTTCCATCCACCCTAGCATCACAGCATTAACAAACCGCCTGGTATCTTGAGGCATCTAGAAAAACCACTTAAAGCTATGTCTGTCCGAATTTTTCCAAATTGATTCGGCAAGATTAAAGGGTCTCCTGACTTCTATTTTGATTCAAAGATTTGGCTGCCAAATTGAATTAGGGACCAAAGCTTCGTACAGCCCTATAAACTAGCTCTTCATAGTCCTCTAAGCCATAGGAACTTGAATTAATGAAGCACTTGGTGCTTAACTTTAATCCTTTTTCAAACGCTACCCCACACATTTTAAAGCCTGCATCATTCTGCAGCTAAAGAAGTGACGCTTCACACACTAACAACTACTATCTGGCAGGCTGATGCTGAGCAGCATACACTAGCAAAATACCTAATGGAGCTAACGCTCGTGGACTACGATATGGTGCACCATCATCCTTCAGAGATAGCAGCTGCTGCTTTGTGCTTGTCTCAACAGGTTCTGGGCCAAGCCAAATGGGTAAGTTTGTTAATATTCCACTTTGATCAAGGTCTGTGGAAGAACCATTCTTAATACAGACTGAGTTCCAGTATTACAGGCCTTGACCAGCATTACAAATGGCTGAAGGACTAATATAAATGCAGTGGTACCTATAGGGTGCTACTGGATCTCACTACAGCTTTGTTTGTTTTTAAGCACCCAAAATGTTCAGGCCTCTCAGTAATTGCAGGTCCATTACATAAGTAGTTCTGCTACTTTGCATAAAGGCTATGCCAGGCAGGTAACTACCACCACTTTTTTCCATTTTGCCTGCCCTGCAGTTAACTCAAGTACAAGATCATATGTCTGGAGTATTTGCCTTGTATTAAAGGTTGTCCAGGTGAATCGGGAGACAACTTGATAGCAAGACCTAACAGCCAGTGAGCTATTTAATTGTCTTGAGTCCCACTTCTGAAATTGCTGACTTTGGCTTTCTTAAATATTACACTGGTGACTTGGCAGTTGCCCCTTAATCAAATGTTCAGGTTCTTGGGGATTGGAAAGATTTACTTTCATCACTGACTACCCTGTACCTTGATACCACAGATGGTCTAGTACAGTGGTCACCAACATTTGTGGGAAACTTTTGGCACTTCCCAAAACCTAAACTTGCGAGAAGTTGGCATGCCAGTGGCAGATGGTGGGGGAGCTGCTAGGGGGCTAATCTTTGTTGCAGCAACACAGCTCCAGCCCCTTCCCCACTATCTGTCCTGAGGCATTTGCGCCAAGCAAAATGCCTTTGCATGCCATGCTCTGGCACCTGTGCCGGTGTTGCCTACCCCTAGTCTAGTACATAAAGACTTTACCCTGTTTCAGTAAAAGTTCTGTAGTGACTTTCAAAGCTGCTTTAAAGGAGAATAGTTTTGCACCTGGACTGGGAGCTGAGAACAGGTTCTTGAGCTCTGGTCTGCAGTTCTCGGACTAAGGTATCTGACATGCCCCTTGCTATGGTGGGGATAGTCTCTCCAGCTTCTTTGTAGTTGTGGGTTTGGAATTGTACTGAATAACTGCCCTGCCTCTCCTCCATGGATGATTGGGCTGTCAGCACTCTGGCCATCTTGTATTGCAGGGAATAAAACAGCAGTACTACACTGGGTATGCAGAAGAGAGTCTACTCCTAATCATGCAGCATATGGCCAAGAATGTAGTCAAACTAAATGGGAATCTAACAAAATACGTTGTAAGTATTGGTCACTTTTAACTCCTCCTGTTCCTATACTGTTGGAAGTACCTACTTTCATTTCCTGATAACCAAAGAGCATGCATTTCGAAGAATAATATCCTGTAACAGATTTATGGTATAGAGTTGCTTCCGTTTGGCTAAGACTTGCTTTTTATTGTGGCTTCCCTGTACACCTTGCAGTCTCCATCTTGAAGCTCTGTTGCATTAGCATGGCACAAAATATTGCAGTCCATTTATCTAGACAGTGTTGTTCCTCTCATTCTTGCAGGCTGTAAAGAACAAGTATGCAAGCAGCAAACTCATGAAGATCAGTACACTCCCCCAACTGAACAGCAAAATAATCAAGGACCTAGCTGCATCTGTAGTGGGATAACCTTAGGTAGCAAATTCTTGTTCCATGCACTTTGTCAACTTGCCTACTGAGGCAGAACTGCTGCTTTTGTACATATCTCTTCTGTTTTGATAGAGATGCTTCAGATTCACTCTGAAAGCAGACTTTTTAAACTTTGCCCTGTGATACATGTGTATATCTAAAAATAAAGCTCCTTTATTAAAAATATTGCTCCTCTTTGTGCTGTTTACAAAAAAGAGCCCCCAAACTAGCAAGTCGACAATTTTAAAGTGCAGGGATTTTCATTAGGCAGTTGTACCAAGGTTCAACTTCTTGCTGTAGCTCTAAGCAACCTTACTTGTGACTTGCACAATAGTGTAGCAAGCAGTCACATAGAGTACCTTTTCTCCTGCTAGCCAGTAACTTTGATGAGCAGGGACAGTGGCTCCTTAAAATACGGCTGAGGTCAGAAATCATACCTGCTGCTTACCTTTTTTTTTACTCACATAGCTGTTTGACTCATTCATTTGAGTACTGCAGGCAGTTTACCTCTGACTGTTCTACTCTCTCAACTATATAGCTCATGCAGGGATTTCTGCAGTAAAGTCAGACATGCAGAAGTTGTACTGGTAGATCACACTCTTCACATCATTGGGCTTGATGCACTGAATAGCACTGTATTGGAGGCAAACAGATCAACTGTCGCTTGTGATTAGGTTCCTGCCCTGACAAGACATCAAAATATCTAAGTTAACTATAAGTCACTTCTGGAGAGTAGTGAGAATGGGGCCCCAGGTTCTTCATATGTTTAAAAAAAAAATCTGTTCTCTCTCTTTCATGAGGTGCATTAACATAATTCATTCTTCAATCTACTTCAGACTACTTTGTCTACACTATTTGGGAGGGAAGGTGTGTGGACAGTGAAAGTGAACTGAAAGCTGAAAGGGAAGCTACTGGCTCTGCTGAGAATCTCTTGTACCACTAATTACTTCCGCCTCTCTTCTAGCTGACGAACTTCCAGATTTTATCTTCTCTCTGAAGGTTTAGGAATTTTTTTTTTTACAGTAGAAGTTACCCCAAAGAAACTACTGGTTAGAAAGTGGATGCTAATAACTGTCCTGAAGTCACAAGTTCTCTTCTGATGTGTGCTAGTAAAAAGGGCCTAGCAATGCTGCAGACATTTAATACTTCACAAGTTGGCTGGATGGAAACATGAATTTGGATGCTGGCGCTTTTCATCTCAATCAGTAAAACTGTGGATAAAATGCTTGAACTGGTCTTGGAGTAAGAATTGGAACCCATGTAGTTTCCTTCTCTAAAATAAAGAATAAGGTTGTCTTGCCTTCCAAAACAACTAGTTTAACTTATCTTTTCTCCAGTACAAGGTAGAAAATAGATGACTGTGTGTGTGTTCAGGCGCAGTGCGCTGAAAACTGCAGGGGTGGTGGCCTCTGCTGAGGCCACGATGCCTGCCATCTGTGGAGGAGATCAGTGCAGGGGGGTTCTGGGGCCTTGCACCTCTAGCTGCTGACAGACGGACAAAACTCGTGCCATGGTTGCTTGTGCAACTGTCTCTGTCTTGGGGCAGTTGATTGTCTGTATTATTTCCTGTCCTTAGTCTGTCTGGTTTTGTAGGTGTTGATACATGCTTGTGAAGTTATGTAGTAGCTAGGTACTGTGTATTAAGCTGGTTCCTGAGTGAATCATGATTAACTGGTAACAGTAGCTTAGCAGCCAGGCCTGCAATAGCCGCCCCCAAGTGCCCCAAGATGGACACGGTTTCACAGCACCCATGTCATGAGTTTTGCTTGTCCATAGCTTGAAGTGCAGTTTTTCCCAAACATCTGCAGAGCCACATACTACATGGCTGCACTCATCTGGACATGGCCTGACTGGGCTTACTTAAGTTCATGAGAAGTTGGAGAGTAAATATGTAGGACCTCTTCATGTTTTAAAACCATGGGTACCTCAAGAACTTACAGCAAGCTGCCATCTACCTCTTGAAGTGTAGGTTGGTACTTAAGAATTTTTGTGCCAAGCATCTGTTTGTTTTAGCTGCTCCATGCTGTAGATGATGCTCATATGATTTATGCATTATACTTGCCTCTTCCCAGATAAGTCTATATATTTTCAGACTGGGGTGTGGATGAGTGGATTTGCCCTTTCTCTGCTCCCCCTTCTCTGAACATGGGTATGCTAGGAGCCTTTATCACTCTGGAATGGAATGAGATTTACTTGTGCAAATGCCCAAAAAACAACAAACTGCAACACAAGCCAACCAACTCCAGGCCACTGGTTCCTGTGTCTCTTTATTTATGGCATTTCAGAAGAAAAAGTACAGATACTGATTAACCTGCATGATAAGCAACAGCTATTTTTAAATGGTGGGGGAGGTAACTGGGCTTAAAAGCTTTAACACTGACTTTTTTTTTTTTTTTTTTTTTTTTTTTTTTTTTTTTTTTT